TGTAAAAAGCAACAGAGGGTCCTGTGGCACCTTTAAGACCAACAGAAGTATTGGAGCATAAGCTTTCGTGGGTAAAAACCTCACTTCAAAGCTTATGCTCCAATACTTCTGTTAGTCTTAAAGGTGCCACAGGACCCTCTGTTGCTCTAATTTATACATTTATAAACACTATAACAGTTTTGTTTCGTGGAAGGAGAGAGAAAGTGGGACTCATGCTAATTTTAAATGTTTCATCACATTTAGAGTCCAGCTTTTCAAAGTGGTCTCAAGCTGATCTCTCAAATCACATCTAATAACTGCTACATGCCCAAGTACTGCCTATGGACATTAAACTGCGTTCTGTTGCATCCAGCTTTTGAAAGTACTTTTAAGGGCCTGATTATGCCACCCTTACTCACATTGACTATCACATTAGGGCTTCTCACTGAGTAATAAGGTGATATTCAGCATAAAGGAACCTGGCCTCATATTTGACTTATCATTGGTATTGTTTGTGTCAAGAGCTTCATAGTTACAAATCATTCACTCAGATAAGTGTAATATTACTCTTTCTCACCTAGAAATGGTATGCTGGGCAGACTGCAGATTTTAAAATGGCATATGCAAGTGGAAATCTTCCACTTATATCAGAAAGCATCCCAGAATTAAGAAGAAAAACAGTAGTTCATGCAGATGTTGAAGCACCATTAATAGCAGGTTATTTGTCTTTAGTCACAAAACTTAGTGATTGGGCAACAAAATGGCAAATGAAATGTAATGTGGATAAATGTAAAGTAATGCACATTGGAAGAAATAACTATACATACAATATGATGGGGGCTAAATTAGCCCCCATGAATCAGGAAAAAGATCTTGGAGTCATCGTGGATAGTTCTCTGAAGACGTCCACACAGTGTGCAGCGGCGGTCAAAAAAAGCAATCAGGATGTTAGGAATCATTAGAAAGGGGATAGAAAATAAGATGGAGAATATCTTATTGCCCTTGTATAAATCCATGGTACACCCACATCTTGAATACTGCATACAGATGTGGTCTCTTCATCTCAAAAATATATACTGCCATTAGAAAAGGTTCAGAGAAGGGCAACTAAAATGAGAAAATGAGAAAGTAAATAAGGAAAAGTTATTTACTTGTTACCATAATACAAGAACTAGGGGCCACCAAATGAAATTAATGGGCAGCAGGTTTAAAACAAATAAAAGGAAGTTGTTCTTCACACAGCGCACAGTCAACTTGTGGAACTCCTTGCCTGTGGAGGTTGTGAAGGCTAGGACTATAACAGCGTTTAAAAGAGAACTGGATAAATTCATGGAGGTTAAGTCCGTTAATGGATATTAGCCAGGATGGGTAAGGAAGGGTGTCCCTAGCCTCTGTTTGTCAGAGGGTGGAGATGGATGATTGATTGATTGATTGCCGATTGGGTTCACTCCCTCTGGGGCACCTGGCATCAGCCACTGTTGGTAGACAGGATACTGGGCTAGATGGACCTTTGGTCTGACCAAGTACGACCTTTCTTATGTTCTTATGTCAGGGGGTTTTATCTACTTTTGATTCATTTTTTTTAAATGAATCAGACTGTGTATTGTTGAACTGGGAAAATAGATTTTAAACTGTGGTTTGAAATATAATATAAGGCAAACAAAAAAAATTTCAGATTCCTCATCAAAATGCAAGAAGGTTCCAAAATATATTCCCCACCCTCAGGGTTTCCAAATTGTGGCACCAAAGCTTGCTTCTTTTTTCCCCCTTAATTCACTGAACAGTATCCATAAGTGATATCATGAAATTGAACATAGATAACTCTTGTTAGGTTACCTAGTCCATCTCCCTGCCACGGAAAGATTGTTGCCTATAATACATTTTCTAGTTCTTTACCCAAATTATGTCATACCTGCCCCTTACCTTGGGAGACTATTTTACTACCTAATGAATTGTGCTGTTCAGTCTTTTCTTTTCTTTTTTAATTGCATATCAGTGCTCCTGCTATCTTCGTGTACCACCCTCACAGATCATTGCACTGGGCCAGTGCTTCGTTCTTACCATGTTAAGTCCAAGACAGACTCAAAAAAGGCACTACTAGGGACCAGTGACCACTACTAGGGTACAGTCTTGTGAACCGTCTGAGCTGAAAAAGAATGCTGCTGGGTTTTCAGAGCTTATACAGTATTCATTTCTCAGTCTGGCATGCTGTGATATATCACCCTTTAAAACCCCTTTACTCTGATGACTATCTTGCCTTCCCCACATCTCCACCTCTTCATTACTGACCTGGTATGAGAGCCTGCTATCTCAGGAAATGGTAGAGATAGAGCTAATGCTTTATCCAAAAACCTGGAACCCAGCATCCAAGAAAGCATTAATCTCTACTTCTGACGGCTCTGCCGAAATAATGTTAATAAATCAGGCAACAGTCATTATTTAAGATCTAGTATCTCCTAAGATCCTAGCGCAGCCAGGTGTAGAAATATTTTGAGAGATCACTACAAATGCTTTAAGGACAAGTAAACTATTTGAGGCACTGATCCTAGATGAGTGATCAAAACATAATTAAATCAAATCCTAAGTAATTCCACTTCATTCATGTTTACTCCTTTCATATACTTTTAAATATCTATTAGGTCCAACCATAAGACTTTATTTATCACTTAGGCAAGCAATATATATTTTACAGTAGCTCTTTTAATCTTTCCGAAGTCAGACCTTCCATCACCCAATCAGCTTTGTTGCTCTTCTCTGAACTTCCTCCAGTTTGTCTCCCTGGTACTGAAGTGTCCAGATCTAATGCAGTTTTGCTTTCTGAAGTGCTCCGTCCATAATTGTGCCACTACTAAGTTTTTTGCTTTTCACTTAAAATAAATGTGAAGAATTAAATACCTCCTGAGTGATTTATTAAACTAGAGGCCTAATGTGGATTTCCAGAGGCAAGATGTTATTTTGCAATGACACTATCAGTGTCACTGCAGTTTTTATCTATTTGCTTTATGTTCCTATCAATTTCTCTCTGCATATTTACAAAAAAAAGAAACAAAAACAAAATGAATGAGATTTTTCACATGCTCTCCATATTAGCCTAACTCTGCTCCCATTCAAGTCATTCACAGTTAATGGGAGCAGAGTTAAGACAACAATTAAGCACATTTAATAATAATAATACCTAGCTCTTTTATAGTATTTTACAAACAAGGTCAGTATCATTATCCTGATTTTACACATGGGGAAACTGAGGCATGGAAAATGGAAGTGACTTGCCCAAAGTCTTCCAGCCAGCCACTGTCAGAACCAGGAATAGAACTCAGGTTTGCTGTGTCCTAGTCCAATGTTCTATCCACTAGGCTGCACTCCCTCTCATTGAAAAATCCCACCTGCCATGCCAACAAAGTGAAGAAGGGGGTGGTCTTCTGAGACGGTGGCTGGTTTGTGGCTGAGCCACTGGCCTGGCACTCAAGAGATCTGGGCTTAAATCCAGACTTCCTGTGTAATCCTAGTTAAATCACGTAATCTCTCTGCCTCGGTTTCTCATGTATAGGATGGTGATGATGATGCTTCACTTTTTTGGGGGGATGCGGTGATAAATTCATCTATGTTTGGGAAGTGCTGAACACCACAGAAAAGCCAGTAAATAACTTCCAATTGGCACATGGTTTATTTTTTATTAAAAAGACTCTCAAACCTATAGTCAACAGAAAACGTGCTGTAATACTGAACCACCTGCTCAGAAATGGCCTGAGACAATTGATAAGCCCTGTTAGACATAGATGGAGTAAGAGAAATTCCAGAGATGTCAGACCCTGGCATACAAATCTGGGCACCCTCAGATAAGGCATTCCAGCTGATCGCAACAGCTGTGGTATGGTCCAAATAGAGAAGAAGTGCCTTAGGATGCGAGGACCTACATTATTAAGGGTTTTATTATTAATCTATACATCACTGTAAGTTTACATGAGGCTTTATGGACAAATAAAGATCAATGCCTGTGCCCCAAGGAGCTTAAAATTTAAGCCCTAGTGCTGCCATTCGCACAATGAATAACACCATAATCCTCCTGCATGGAGTGAGGGACCACTCAGTGCAAATGAGAGCGGCAGACTCAGATGTTAAAACAAAAAATAATGCAGGATGGTGACAGACACTGAGGTATGTTAAGCAGGAGAGAAGTTACAGAAACAAGATAACATGGAGGCTTAGGAGAATGATTCATGCGTCATCAAAGTTCATCAGGGATTTTTGGTATTTTTAATACATTTACTTAGAGGGAAATATTAGGGTTTATTAGCCTCATAGAAGAGGCATATTTTACTAGGGGACTTGGAGGAGGAGAGGGCAGACACAGTCAAGAAGAGGGTTCCAGACATATGGGGAAGCAAGCAAGAAGGCCCAGATCTGAGTGAGAGACACTGAGGATGTTGGTGTTGGTATTGGCTTGGGCAGAGTGAACGAGGACAAGGGCAGAGGGGTTGGATAGGGCAAAGATGGGCAGGGCCTGGAAGGTAAGGAGTAGGAGCTTGCAGAAGATGATGAATCTGAAGGAGGACTGATGGTCAAAGCAGCAGACACAATAAATGAGTTTCACATCTGGACGGACTGGGAGCAGATGTTAGGTAGGACAGAAAGAGAAGGTTGCAGCAGGACAAGAGCAGAGCCTGCAAAATTAGGGAATGGCAAGACATACTCAGATTCTGCAGGTCTTGTAAAGGGAAGTACTTGATATTATGAAGAGCAAAGGCACTTGCAGTCTTAGAGAATGCCAGTCTCAAGATATCTGAGATGTAAAGAGCAGAGAAAGGTAACACAGAAATACCTTAGACGTACTAAAGGTCGGAAAATAAATAGGGTTGTACTACCATTTTTTTCTCTTCGGTTTTTTGTGTGTGTGGCTCACTTGCTGTAGCAATATGATGTCCATTGATACTATGGTGCAGCAGATTATGGCATTCTTATGAGTAATACAAAGGCATAACATCACCAGGCGTAATGGACGCCAGTCCTATTCTGAAATAGGACACTTACTGAACAAAATTAGAGTGCAGATTATCGCTAGATATGGCTTATGTAACTTGATGTCTAGCTCTGCAATTAATGTTCAGTATAGTATACAATAAATCACTGTAGATGAATGCAGACTTCTCTTCTACTTATAAGGTTGCTTTTACTTAATGCATTTCTTTCAAAGTGATTCTTTTGGTTCTGACAGATCAACAGGAACACGTACATGTAAGTGTCATTCATCGTCAAGTGGTGGATATGCTAGCTAGTGGAGACTCGTTTTCTAAATTTGGGTCTGGCCCTAAAAATTCTTATTTCTTAGGGAAAAAAGAAATGTGGATTTCTAATAAGGGTGAAAGTAAATGCTGAGGTCATTTGTTCGCTGCTACCCCAAATACTGTACATACTGAATAATACTACAGTATATGAAAACTAACGGTCACTATTGTGTGTGGATTGTTTAGTTTCAGCTCTTGACCAGCTGTGTCCCACTACGCTAATAACATACATTATTAGTAAGATTTTTATTTATATTTTTTCTTCCAGTAATCTCAATCCTGGAAAAGAACCAAATGAAAATGGAGTGTCTATGCAGAATGACAACTTTGAAGAGATCATAAACTTACCCATTGGATCTAAACCATCCACATTGGATGCCTTGAACAATGATGGAAGCAATAGCCCTGAAATTCCTTTGAATCCAATTTTAGCCTTTGAAGATAAGGGGACTCTGGGGCCATTGCCTCAGGTAGATAGTGTTCAAACACATCAAACAGCAGGTAGGTTTGCTTTGGACCATTAGAATTTGTAATATTTTGTAAATGAGAGACACCATGGAGTCCCTAATTGATGTACATAACCAGATTGTTAATTTAAGCAGTTTAGGTTGTAAAATATTTGGGGCAGAGAGCATGTCTTACTATGTGTTTGCAAAGCCATGTATACTTGCATAGTGCTGTGTGAATCATGACTGTTAACCTAATGTCAGGGAAAATAAGGGGTTCCTAGTAAATCTTGGCTTCATGCGTATAGGGGTGTGAATAACAGATATTTCAGTTCACTCGTGATTCTGAAAAAAAAATCATGTCAGGTTGTCCCGGACACATAGGTCCATTGCTCTTGAACAGCTCTGGAACTGTCCCTGGGAGGACCCCTTCATTGTGTCAGCCCCCTTAGGGTCACACACTCATTAGGGTAAGCCACTTGGCTTCACTGCCTCCTGGGACCGAGCCTCAGAGCTTTCCACGCCCCTGCTTCACACCGTGAGCTCCCTCCAGCGAGTCCACCTGAGTTGGACACCTGAGAGAGAGAGAGACTTCTACGCCCAAAGGGATCAATGCACCCCCAACTCCCTTAAATGGGAGTGACTCTTAGCCAGCATTGTAAAAGCAGAAGGGTTTATTAGAGGTCTGGAACACAGCATAGAAAGTCTTTAGTTAACATAGAGAACAGAAAGTTACAGCATAGTCCATCTGGGTCAGTCCCTAGCCCTCTGACCCCTTCTTCATCCCAGTCCAGAAGCTTCTCCTGTTTCCAGCAGCCCACACTTAACAACCCTGGCCCCTCTTCACTCCTTTGTCCTTGTTCCTGGGCAAATATTGTTACCTGGCCTCCTTCCTTAACCCTTTGTTCTCCAGCTGGTCGCACCCAGCTGGCTTCCTGCAGAGGGTGGGCCATCCATGGTGGTTAGTTGCTAGGTGCCAAATGTCTGGGCAACTGGCGTGGCCGTTGTCTTCTCGGACTCTCCATGGGCATGGGGGCCCAGACCCGAGGCAGCTAGGTCAGTCACACCTGGATCACTGGGTTTCTGCAAAGAGTAAACAACCTTTCCCGCTCCCCACTTAGTTAACCATGCACCACAAAAGGGAAACTGAGGCACACACCATATTCATACAAAATATTATGACATTTTTCTCAGTCCGTCACACAGGTTGAACAAAAGTTTTGTTTTAACAAAATTGAAATTTTTTGTTTCAACAAATCAAAATGTTACATTTTGATATTGACCATTTTAAAATGTTTTTGATTATATCTTAATAAAAGTAAAGTAAATTTAGAAACAAAAAGTTGTTTTGACCAAAACAAATCAAAACATTTCAATTTGTTCAGCTTTTTGCTCTTTCTAACTGAAATAATTCAGCAAAACTGACACAAATTCATAAAAATGTTTGGTTGCCGAAGGCTGAAATCTTCATTTTTTGCTGTAAAAGGTTTCAAATGAAAAATTTCACCCAGTTCTGCTCATGAGGATGTTTTATAAATGTTTGCACAATGCGCTTCAGCACCAGCATGAACACGAGAACCTTGCTGTGACATAATTAGTTGCCACTGTCTTAGCAGCTTCTGATCCAGCAATATGTTCTAACTATCCAAATGGAAAGTTGTACCCCTCTTGTGGGGTGTTCTCTGTGGAATGGGGAAATGGTTACAGCCTTATACATAAGAATACTGAATACCTTTCCCTAATAACGCGATGACCAGGAGGCTCTATCTCTGATATTGATACTGAAGGTTTGCCTGCAGCAGCCGTCGCTGTAGATCTCTGTAAAGAAGCAGACTAGAATTTTGTATATATTGGGTATGAACTGAATAATAAATATCACAAGCTAAATCAGCTGCCTGCATTATTTCCTTCTTCCATGTATAAAACATTTGAGAAAAAGGATCAGCCAATGAAAGTGCTGTTTAAATTGGCTTTTTAGATAAAAATTATTCCCGTCTGCTAATCTGTCCTTTATTGCCTTTCATTATAGAAGTTATCTGACCGTTTCTTCTGAAGAGCCAAAGATGAAGTAAGCATCTCTGCTGCCTATGGAGTTCCTTCCATACTATGAAGGACTGTTTTATTTTCTCTCTCCAGTTTTCTAAAACATTTGTGGATATCTTTTTTGAAAGGACCTTAGTAAAACCAGCAGAAGAAGTGATGGAGAATAGACATGGATTATCTTTCTATCTAATAGTTTTCACCAGTAGAAAATCATGCTTCACGTGCATTACTTAAAATGGCTTTTTTTCCAACAAGCTCCTTTTCGCAAATCAATATTTTCTGCATTCTTCAAGACAAAAGGCACTAGAATCTGACAGTAATGAGCTGATTGGGGTAAAGGGCCTGATTTTTTTTTTTTTTGAAGATGGGTGGTTGCTTTTAAAATTGGCGACTAATCTTCTACGTTTTACGGATCTAATACTTGAAAAATAAACATCTCATTGCTCTACAAGTAGGGCTAATGGGAGGTTTCATTTAAACCTGTTGGTTTAAATATTATTACAGAGAACTCTAATTATGGGGGCAAAATATAGGCTTCTGTATCAGGTTCTTGTAAATGTAACTTCTACATGGACGTTCTGTAAATTCAAATGTCACTACGATCTTCTTGCATTTTCTTTAAAAACACAAAGCGGAACAGGTTTTAAAATATGAAAATTTGAAGCGCTATTTTTTCATGGACAAGACGAAAACCTGTTGTTCTCCTAGATAATGTATTTATGAATTTTGTTCAGTACAAAAATAAATCATCTAATTGAATAAATTAGAAAAATGTGGTAAAACAATATTGCAAACTTGATTTTGTTAGTTGCATTCATGTCCACGGTATGATAAAAGGTACACATGCAGACACACAGAAAAATCATTTTTTGAGTCCTGTAAATTGCTGCTGTTCCCAGTAATGGAGGGATCTTTCTTTGCCTTATCAGATTGTGACACTCTGTGTGAACTTGAATATTGATTTTGGGGCAAGAAAGGGAGGGGTGTTTTTTGGGGGAGGGGGAGTTCACCTCAGAGCAAATGGAAAATGATGCTTGTTTGTTCTTTTTATTTATTTAATGTTCATTTTTTTTAAAATGCAGTACACTTTATCACCGGATAATGACTTGAATCTTACCATTCCTCTTTAGTCCACTGACACAGATTTTTCACTTTCAGCATTCCAAACTTGTCACTTTTGCTGCTACCGAGCTTGACTGAAAAATCTTGCACTTTTTTTGCTTTTATAAAGAGTGCTCCTAATGGCAGAAATTACTACACCTCTACCCCGATATTACGCAACCCGATATAACACGAATTCAGATATAACGTGGTAAAGCAGCGCTCCGGGGGGGCGAGGCTGCACACTGGCGGATCAAAGCAAGTTCGATATAACGCAGTTTCACCTATAACACGGTAAGATTTTTTGGCTCCCGAGGACAGCGTTCTATCGAGGCAGAGGTGTACTTAAGTGTTGTGCATGAGAGATGTTACCGGGGCACTGATTGAAATCAATGGGACAGATCTTCAGCTGGGGTACATTGAGGTCCAGGGAGCTATGACATTTTACACCTGCTGGGGATCTGCCCCAGTGAGGATCCTTTGATTAACTCCTTTGGGCATTGGATCAGGCCCATAATGAGCAACACTGCAGCAAGTTTTGTTATCAAAGGGAAGCTCAGTTTAAGGTAAGACTTGAAAGAATTCTATGAAGAATGTTTTGAAGAGCTGACTTTCCACAGCTACAGGGTGCGGGTCTTCTCAAAAAGGAGATTGGATAAATCTACTGGAAATTCATAAAATGATACTTCATCTCCCCGATTACATGGGGGGGGGGAGAAGTCGTTCAGTCAGAATGTTTTAGAAATAGTTTGTGATCTAGTGAAATGAATTGGGTTTGTTTTCTGCTTTCTTTACAGTTCTCATGTACATAACCATTATATTTAAAAATATGTCCAAAATATGTAGGTTTTATTTCTTTTAATCTAGATAGTATGTAAGAACCAAATAAAATGTGTTTGGAATATTTGTACCTTTTATATTTTGGTTATCTTGTTACATTAGTTTTATCCAGGGAGCAGTTTATGCTTGAAAATTGTTCTAGCTACTCTTCACTTATTTGTGTCTGTTTGGTTTTCTCTCATCTGTTTATTAGGCAAGTAGCACAGGCTCATTTACAAGTAGGGATGGACCAAGGAGTTGGTATTTGGATCTAGATTCAAATTATGTTTAAAACAGGGATTGGATTAGGATTCAAATTTGATGGCCTTGAGATCATATGAACAGTACTCATGAGATTTCAGACCAAAAACTTTGCAGCATTGAAATCAATAAGATTTAAGAACATGCTTAAAGTGAAGCCGTTCTTAAGTACTTTGCCAAACTGGAACTATAATGAAAAGAGTTCTCATGAAATGTATTCTATATCTAAACCAGAATTAGAAAAAAAAGCCCCTTTTGGCTGTAGGGTCTGACCTGGAACCAAAACTAGAAGGGTAAATTCAGATCCGGGCATTTGGATCAGAATTGCTGACAAAAAAATTCATAGGGTTTAAGATTTGAAGTCCTGGTTTTGATCCACCTTCATTTGAAAACAGAAGATTTTAAATGGAGGAAAAAGTCAATCTTCTTTAAAATATTGTTTTTATTACTAGACCATAGTATCAAATATAGGTGGGCATGGGATATAATGGTGTCAGCTTTGTAGACAGTTACTGTAACAGTTTTAACCATCTGCACAGTCAGGGGCTGTTTGACTATTCCAGGATGGTAGAATTAGGAGTTGTAAAAGTCTTACTTACATTACAATAATAACAAGCATTATGAGGTGGGAAGTCATACATTTTCATATAGTTGGGAATTGAAAATATTCATCTCATTGCCTCAATCAGTTGTTCATAGTGCCACAATCAAGTGCTCTGTAGCAAATTTGTCCATGACATTAAGCACTGCATCACAAATGCAGGTTTAGTCATCAAGTTTCAGTTTCTTACATTCTTTTCTCTTCACTTTTTCATCTCATTCCTAACAGGAAATGCCCTATTTTACTTCTTGCCAAAGTCTTAAACAATGTTTCCAGTTAGGTAAAATTCCCAATAAAATAGAAAAATACTGGTTTAGGCTTCCAAGGGAGGCTGTGGAATCTCTCATCAGAGGTTTTTTTAAGAACAGGTTAGACAAACACCTGTCAGGAATGGTCTAGATATACTTGGTCCTGCCTCAGCATGGGAGGCTGGACTAGATGACCCCTCAAGGTTGCTTCCAGCCCTACATTTCTGTGATTCTATGAAAAACAGATAAAAGAACAGATTCTAATTGTATCACAAGTTTGCAAAGTGAACTGTATTTAGGCTTGGAAGGATTAGAGTTTGTCGATAAATGTTGATAAATGTCGATTTGACCATGTGCAGTGTTGTTGTAGCCATGTTGCTCCCAGGATATTGGAGAGAGAAGGTGGGTGACGGAATATCTTTTATTGGACCAACTTCTGTTGGTGAGAGACACAAACTTTCCAGCTTAAGCAGAGCTCTTCTTCAGGTCTGGTAAACGTACTTAGTGTCACAGCTAAATACAAGGTGGAACAGATTGTTTAGCATAAATAGTTCAAATACATTTCAAGGGACCATTCAAGGTAAAATGGCCCATTAACACTCCTCTAGTAATAGGGAGGAAAGGAAGGGGAGGGTTGTTAGTGGGTTATAGATTGGATTTATGGCTTATTACAACAGCGTTTCTATTCAGTCCATGGTTTTTAGTATCTAGCAAAGTTATGAATTTAAGGTCTCAGGCTCATCTTTTGAAAAAGTGTTGTGCAGTTTTCCTTTGAGGATGAGGACTGATTGGTTAGGTATAGAGTGATTGCTTTGTGAAAAATGTTGCCCCATGGGTGATAGGGTGTTTTTGTCTTTTATCATTTTCCTGCGTGAGTTCATTTGAGAGCATCGTGATTGTCTGGTTTCACCCATGTAGTTGTTATTGGGGCATTTAGTGCACTGCATGAGGTACACCACATGTTGTGATAGGCATGTCTTTGGGCCCATAGATCTTGAAAGGTGTGTTGTGGGGAGTGTTAATCATAGTAGCAGTGGAGACATGTCTGCAGGTTTTGCATCTGTTGTTCTGGCAGGGTCTGGTGCTGCTTTGAATTGCTGTATCTTGGTCTATGGGGAGCTTACTTCTGATGATGAGTTTGGAGAGGTTGGGGATTGTTTGAAGGCCAGAAGATGGAGTTTACTGATACCCTCTATGGATTCCCATGCGCTAAGCAACAACTAGGGGTGTGCAGTCAGAAAAGGGTTTATTTCTGTATTGAAGTAGGTTCTCTTGGTGTATTGGGGTGGCCCATTCCATGATGCGATCTACTTCTCTGGTGGAGTGTCCCTGTTTGGTGAAAGTGGTGTTAAGGTATATATCCTGGACTTTCTCCTCAGAGCATATTCTGTGGTATCTGAGTGCCTGGCTGTAAATAACCGATTTCTTGGTGTGTTTGGGGTGGTTACTGGATCCGTGAGGGTAGGCATGGTGAACCGTGGGTTTCTTGTATATAGCTGTCTGGAGGGTTTCATTGTTGAAGCTGATTGTGGTGTCCAAGAAGTTGATGCTAGTGTAGGAGCGTTCCAGAGAGAGTTTAATGGACGGGTGGTGGTTGAAGGCGTGGTGAGGAGTGGAGTTTGAAATACTAAGGCTGTAGTAATGGTCACAAGGCAGAAGTCATAAGATACGTGGGGCAACTCATCCCAGCATTGGTGCTAGAGTCATCAGAGAGACTGAAGGGAGGTAGCTTGTACTTCCCCTACTTATGGGGGCTTCTGGATCTGGTTCAGCTCCTGGTACAAGTTAGGCCAGCATTCTGAGGTGCTTTAAACCATACCCCACTGCCATATTCTCCATGAGCCATGTGGCAGTGGATAATTGCCAGGGAACAGGGACTGCACCAGGCATGCCCTACTCCCACCCCAGGTCACTGCAGAACACCCCCAATGTATCACCTGTGCCAGGTGCTCCTGCAAAGCTGGGTCTACACCTGTCAGAAAGGCCCTTCCACCAGTGGTATTCACCACAGGGATTCATGCCTGGCAATGCTTCATTTGCACCTTTAGTTTTGCTAGCTAAAGGAACAATAATGATTGTTTGAATTTGGTCCAGACCACATCCTAAAGTTAAGAGCAAGTCACCAGCCATGGGAGAATGGTTTGTCCACACTTTAGCTAGTACTAACCATAAAAAAGATGAATAACTTTGTTGCTTTCTCTTATACAAACAAATAGGATTGCATGAAAAATCCTCTTTTCTGTAGGAAGCCGTGGTTCAAGTATATTCTTTTTCAAGCTATTCATCTTCCAGGAATGTCAACACAGTCAGCTTTCTCAGCAAAATTTTCAACCTGAGTTGTCATGCATGGGAATTCATGTAAGGGCAATGGCAGCTCATGTGATGCTTCCCAGGGGTAACCAGAGCTGTAAGGCTCCTCTCTACCACCTGCCTGTATTATGAGGAAGCCTTGTCTGTGCCTGATAGGGGTCAGTTCCCCAACTCCACCAGCCACTGGCAACACAAGCCCTCCCCTCTTAGCCTATGCAGACTCTGGTGTCCCTCTGCAGGTTAGTGATAGGCACACTCCAAGCCCGGAGCAGCTCCCTGGAGTATCCCACCCCTTTTCCACTGGATACTCACAGAATTCACAGATCGCTTTTCCCAAAGGAATAGTACACCCCAGTGTACCAGATTTGTATTTGGATCACTGCTCTGCAAATCCCAAACGAAGGAGAAACCTTTCAGCATTTATGGTAAGAAACTTTCCTGAACACATGTGGGAGCAGATGTTCAGCAGAACAGTGCACAGAACTCTTACATCCCTCCATCCAGTATAGTTATTCCCACAGCTTAAAAAGTACTGGTACCATTTAGTCTTTTTTAAATCTCTGGGTGTGCATACCTGCTGAGAGGTGGTCCAAACAGGTGCTGGATATACTACAGTCCTAAAGATTACATCAAATGGCATTTGTTGTGAAATTTATAAATGCAGCCTCAAAGCCTATAGGGAGAGGGTGTTTTCTCCAAAATTATACTTCAATTAAGAACTTTCAAAATGTTGGAATGACAATTTTGGAATTGTGGTTTTGTTACCCAAAGCATGCCATGGAAAATTGACTTCTTGTGCATGTTCTTTGATTGCAAGATGAAAGTTGCATAGTCCAACTGAACCATCCTTAACAAAATAGCATGATGTCTGGCCATTCTATTGGATTTAACAAATATATTATGCCAGTATAATGCCATAAAAATGAGCAGTGATTCAGTTACACTCACCACTAAATGTAACACTGATTATAAACCACCTGATACCAACTTTCTATATATTTCAGTTTGTCTAGTAAATGCTCGGCTGATTTAATTTTATGACATGCTTAAGCATAGACCTATTTGTAAAACTCCAGACTTTACTTAACCACTCAGGTCCAAATTCAGTCTTCAGGTATTCAGCTGCAACCCAAAAGACTTGTGTGGGATTTATATACAGTTACATGAAGGCAAAATTTAGCCTTAAATCATAGTAGTTAACTAACACAAAACAACTTGAATTCTGTCATAGATCTCCAATGGTTTTTTATAAGCTCTCCAGGTTCCATTCTTTAAAAAAAATTAACACTCACACACAAATACAGCAATGCCTTTGGTGCTCCTTTGGTGTATTAAATAGACTAGTTTGTGCATGTTGCTTTTTCCTGAAAAAGCTCTGTTTAGACAGGCTACAAGGTGGGGGTTATATTTGTTTGTTTGGGGTGGTTGTTTTTTTTAGGAAGGGGAGACAATATGTCCATGTTAATTGCTATATTTCAAACATAATCCATACAATGGGCATGATTGTTATTTACCCTAAGGCCCCTTATCCTGACATTGTAGTATGAAAGTGTGGTAGTTTGGATGACACCCAACCCCAGTGAGTTCATTACTCTATTTATTACTAATTACTATCATTTTCTTCCTCTGAGTTCACTGTTCTTCACTAGTGAATGTGTTGCCCTTTACATCTTCCATATTCTAACTCCAGTTCTCTTTCTCTTTAGTTAGGTAGCTCCAGGCACTTTAGTGATATGGGTACTATGAAATAATGAACACAGACACTGACTGGTAATAGAATATTGTTAATATCAAAGAGCACAGCATAGTTTGCATATACAAATGTGTTGGGAAGAATGTGTGTTTAATAAAACCTGTTTTTTACATAAATAAAACCTCACACACACACACAGTGCTTACTGTGTGTTCAAAAAGATACCCAATATTGGCTAAACTTTGCATGTATTTTATCAGCCATGTACATGGCAGGAATATAGCTGTAGCCATTAAACATTTTAATAGAGTAAGTTGACATGTTTTTTCACACCTTTTTCTAGACCGTACTCCGTTATCAAAACATTAAGGCCCTATAAAGTATGTGATTCCAATGGGTCATTATGTGTTGGGTGGAACTGCAAGTGGTAGGAAAATATTGGCTATGAGAAGTAATTAAAAAAAAAAAAAAGTTAACCCTTTCTGAGGGATCAGGCTGCAGGCTGGAATAGCATTTCATGAGGTGAGTAAATAAAATGTTAACTGCCTTTATGGCTGGTAGCCATTTTAAGGAGCTCCTGAGTTTCTTCTGTCTGTTGACGGACTTGCTCAAGATACTCCATCAATTGACTCTGGCTGAATGCAGATGAAAATTCTGGATCTGAGAACAGAGGAAAACCAGGGTATGATTGTCCAGCCCACATAACTCAAGTGCTCTATCCACAAACACATTCTTCCCTTTAAATTTCTTTAGAAATTAGATTTTTTGTTTGCACGCTAGATAGAAAAGTACTCGGTTGACTCATTATTCATGATACAAATGCGCTATAGTTTCCCGTAAAGTCTATACTATGTAAACAATATTTCCTTACCACACAAGGGAGAATGATGACTCTATCGTTAGCTCCTCACCTTTGTGGGAAGGTTTGTGTGCTACTTTCTGGTGATCCAGATGCCCAGTGCTCAGATGGCTGAGTCCAGCGTTGAATAGAGTCTCCCACATAACGACGGAGGAAACAACTCAGCTGCTGAACTGGCTGACAGTTCTTATTTTCTTTTGTTTCTTACTATTTTGGAAGCAAGTCTTTCACTTTCTTTCTACTTCCCCATCCCCCCAAAATACTATGAAAAATGTTAAGAGGCTCAATCAAAACTAGTAGTCCTAAAATATGAGACCTACTAGTTTTAAGTTGGTTTGGTAGGCATTCCTGGTCAGACATTTGAGAACAGAACAGTGGTACCTTTCAGCAGTCTACATGCTAAGTAGTTTGAATTTTCTGCATATTGCAATCCTCGTTTTGCATAATTGGGTAGACGTGGAGAAAGGCTTGTTGCTAAGCCAAGTTATATTTTAGGCCCATCAGCCTGGAAAAATGTCCATAAATAAAGCAGCAAAATGGTGGTAAAGACAGACCATTATTCATTCTCTCCTCTCTTGTGCTAAGGATAATAATTTACTGTTAATGAGTGAAAATGTAATGAACAAACACTAACCAGGAGGTTATTGGCTGTGTTCTTTGTACATTTTGACATTTTTCTAAGACAAAGAGCTAGTCCGGTTCCATTTGGACAAATAGCCATGCACAGAGCTCCTATGTCCCATTGACAGGCTATACTTTCCCAATAAAGCCTGTTCCTTTTTCAGAAAGTAAAACGACACCAGTTTGCCTTTATTTTAGAAAAATCATTTTGGTAAGTGTGTCTTAAGAGCCAAGGTAATTGCTACCCCTGAGTCTTCTCTCTCTCTCTCTCTCTCTCTCCTTGATTCGGTGAATAGAGCTAATCCCCAGTAGGCAGTAGCACTGTCAGGTACATTTACTGTATGTGAAGCTTTGTTACCAGGCAGTGAATGTATTGCATTGATGTCAGTGGACTTGGCAGAATTCAATTTTTATTTTTGGTAATTTTGACAGATAATATCAATGTTTATTTTTAACTTTTTTACATTATTGATTTATAGTTTGAGTTGTGCAAAATTCTGGGGTTTAAACCTTCTATTTTTATTGATTTAAATTTTCACAGTTGCAGGAAATGATGGGGGAAGGTCGGACAGTTATTATTTAATGACAGTCACCATTGATTCAAAACATTAAAACTTTATAACCGTTAAAACACACATTGTCAATATCACATGTCAAAATATACAAAGTAAATTTCCTTAAATCAAACTCCAATAATTTCTCAAACCGCATTTTTTTTCTTTGCCTATCTGTAAATTTTGATTATTATCTCTAATTTTTTTCATCGGTTTGTGTGTGCACAGCAAAATCGACATTTACTGATAAAAATCTAATCCTTCAAAGCCTGGATGAGCAGCTAGGATTGAGCAGTCTACGGTACTGGTAGTGAGAACTGATGAATCAAGGGACATACCTTCCAGTAATTTTCCCAGCGTAGAAATACCCAGCTGCTGAAAGCGAATCTCTTGGTGGCTGAGAAAATTCATGAGGTAGCGCTGGACTTCCTCCAGGTGGCATTTCAGCAGAGACATCACTTTATCTACATCAATGGGGGTATGGTGAGAGAGGCAGAAACAATTTAAAGTGAGCACTTATTTGTTACGGGTTTCATAAGGCAACATTTTAAATCAAATGAGGAATTTGATGCTATTTCAAAATGTGTGTTGACTCAGCTATTTCCTCTCCCCTACCCAACTACATGCGGCGTTCCAATTGTAATGGACAATAAAAGAGCCTCCACGTGTCATAAACCCATTAGTGTCAATGATATTGCAGTTAAATTGTATGCAAGGTTTCTATTGACCGGGCTGCTGCACTGGGAGCCTGATGTACGGTATTTGTAGAGTGTACATGCTATTTATGGACTTCTCAAACTATTGATCAGCCTTTCACACTCTCTCACCTAGTCTGTAAATATTTCAAAAGCTCTGTGCATGGTTAGTGCTTGCAGGCAGCATTTATTTCTCTGGATAAGATTCTTCTTTAGTGTAAGATGTTTGATGTGGGGATTGAAGTAGGTTTGAATTTTTTCCCTTGCTAGAACCTTTCATTCCAGACTCTAATATCTGTCAGGTCAGAGTGGGAGAGAATTTGGAATTTAACTACTCCTTTCATTGGAGAGAGGTGTCGAATAAGATTGAATATTCTTGCTCCATTTCTGTTTAATATATATATATATATATATATAAATCCTATTTTGCAAGTTGAAAAGATCTAAATTTTATGGAGCAAGTATATTGGGCACACAGGTATCTATTCTCTGCAGATAATGCAATGCTCTTTTCATTATCCCTCACTGTAATTCAGAGATTACTGGATAAATGCTCAGAGGTCTGCTTTCCTGAGTGTTCCAATTAAGTTATTCCAGAACTAAGGTAATTTTGTTGGCTCAAGAAGGCTCTGTTGGTCAGTGAATGGAGTTAAGTTAAGTTAAACTTCTTGAGCCAAATAATTTCTGCTGTAACTTCTTTGTAACGTAACTCCTCTGCTACCTACTCTCAACCATATTATATGAACTAGAGTACTTTGTAGGTGGGCAGGGAGAAAGAAGACTGATGATATTTCCTGTCTGGAATATGTTCAAAATTATTTCCTTCCTCCCTCCCCTTGTCCCCCCCGCCCCCCCCAAAAAAGGTGAGAAATGCCATACACCATCCCATCCTCTTGCTCATCTTGCTTCAAGGTCCTTGATCATGTTTCTCACAGTGACACACAGAATAACCACTGCAGAATGTGCAAGACCAACTAGTAGCTGGTTGTAGTGGTTAGAGCAGGAGACTAAGCACCAGAGCCTCTGCTGGTGTAAATTGGTATGGCTCCATGGAGTAGAGCCTAGGAATCAGTACCCTGAGTTCTATTACTGCCTGTGCCATGGATTTACTATTTGACCACAGCTAAATCAATCTTTCAGAGCTCAAGTTTCCCCTTCTATAAAATGGGGGCAGTAATACTTATCTAGCTCACCAAGGTATTCTGAGGCTCAGCAGTATTTGTGAAGCATTTTGACATCAGATGAAGTGTGCTATGAAAATGTTAATGATTATTTAGTGATGGAAGGCCAAACCCTTTTTGAAAAGACACAGTTGACATTTCACTTTACACAATATAAATGTGTCAGAAATGTAATTAAACTCTATGCATAACATTTACCATGACATATCATGCGTCGGACAATGGAGGCAGCTTGAAATGATGGCTCTGTATGTTCCCGTTGCCCAGCCAATCTCACTAGGCGCTTTATCAGGGGTTCATTCATCAATTCTAGCAAATGTAATGTGGCACCTTCTGGGAGACAGGAAGCAACAAAAAGGCTACATAAAGACATGCGAGTAAGCTGTAAAAAAACCCAAGGGCTTTAGAAATGCATCAACCAGAAGGCCAAAAGCCAGACTGTCTAAACAGGATAGCCCAACGCCCTTTGCACAGCTGGAGGACCAGAATGAATGCAGTACTTTTGAAAAGCAACTTCTGGGACCTAGTACCTAGGACCCACAGCTTCAGGCTGTGAATTCAGTGAAAATTTGGCCTATAGAAAGGCTGATAATTTTTATAATGTGATTCATCTGTTCAGAACACATACCGCTTTATGTGAAACAAAGCCATTTGGCATGGTGGTCTCAACCTGCCCAGTCACCACTGGATAAGTGTCCACCTCACAAAACTAACTGCCACCAATCAGCAACCTTGCTGGTAGTCACAGCAGGGAGGCAGAAACACTGAATGGCCATGAGACTGAAATACCCTCCCAACCCAAAGGTGTCGTTCTGGGTCATGGTTGTGGCCTATTGAGGGGCAGGGTGGGGAAGTGTGTACTGCTCCTCTCGCACCCACCGCTGCCCTCCTGAGGGTAAAGGGTTTTCATCTCCAGGACTGTCCGTCTGGAACTTCTGACCCACACAAAATCCACATGCAAACATTAAAAAAGCTAAAGCAAAGTCACTTTGCTTTTTAGCTTTTTCCTCTTGCTAACGGGTCTTTGCTGCTATAAAATTAATTATCTGAAATTAATGGAAAAATATATCAGGGTCACAACCAGTGGAATCCCAGTATCATTACAATTAAAAACACATAAGCCAGCTACACTAGCAATATTAGACAAAGTGAATTTTGATCAGAGCAGTTTTTAAAAGCTGAAACAGTTCAATAGACAAGAATTCAAACAGTTCTCCCACCAGTGGGATTAGTCTACGCTCACTGAAGTTAATAGCAAAACTCCCATTGACTTTATTGTGAGCAAAAAGATGCGCACATGCACAAAAAACTGTGTGTGTGCATGTGCGCATCTCTTTTTAGCAATAATGAGAGATGTGTGCATGCTGTGAGATTAGGCTGCTTGCTATGTGATTGCTCCCTTACCATGCGTTGCCAGCTCACCAAGAGAACATGTCACGTAATGAAGAGATTCTTCTTGAATTTCAGTAGACAGGATAGCCTGGAGGAGTCCTTCCACACATGGACTTTCAATGATTCCCTATGATGAGAAAGAGATTATATTTAGCTCTTTTACAGTGCTTTGTAACTTCCAAGGACTTCACAAACATGAACTAATTCGTAGAATACAGAGGATAAAATGGGTCAGTGCTAACAATTGCCACCTGCTTACCCATAATAGACAAGATGCACTGTGCTAGTGGGAGAGAGGTCAAGCTTGACACTCATCTTGGATTTTCTGGGGCCATCCTGATTTTGACAGAGCTGTTACACAAGCTCTGTCTATGGGATGGGCACAGGACCTCAGATCACTTATAGAGCCAAAAAAAACTTCATGTTGTGAGTCATTGTGTCAGGATGTGTTTTTTATTGCAAGGTCATCGTGTGCTGATGTTTTGATGTGAACCAAAAAGTCAATATATTGAATTACCATATGCCATACAACACAGAAGCTTGTTTTTCTCATAATTACCTCCACATTTTTGACAACTTTCTGGCATTCAAATGCTCAGATCTATACAAGATATTTTAGGTGTGGTCTTACCAGAGCCAAACAGCAAGAGTGTGTTACTTCTCTGGGGTGTGACATAATGGCTCTCCATATGCAGCCAAACCTTGCAATGTCATATCACATTGTGAATTGCTTAAACATACTTTTGTGCATCTACTTCCTTTAAGGTGCAGTGTGGGGGGGAAAAAAGCTTTTAAAAAAATTAACACATTTATCCAGCCAGCGATAACTACCTCCAGGGTGTCATGGCCCTTGGGGCTTAGAAGGATTTAGGACACCCTGTTGCAGAGAACTGTGTATCCAAGGAAAAAATTTAGTAAATGTGCCATAGGATGCTAATGCTATTGTGATGTTTTGGGCCATTAGGACCAGACTTCAGTGCATATACAGTAACACTAGCATCCTATGAAACTTTTTAATAAAAGTTCTTCCTTGGATACAAGTTCTTCTAAACCCAAGGACCATGAAACCCACCCTCTGCCCTAATTTTCTCACTGGAAGAAAATCCCATTGGCATGGCTAGGCCACAAGGATAGGTTCAGACCACTGGAAGAGGTTTGAGGAACCATCATTTCAACCTTCAGATCCTGGTCAGATTTGGTGGGTCCTACAGGGTGGAGCTCCTGACATGCGAATGGGCAGGAGTTCCTTCTCTCAGCTGTGAGAAGATAACAAGAGAATATCTGGATTCCTCGCTGCACGTAAAACAATGATAGCGGGGAGAGTTGTGATGGTTTGGTATCTGTACTGTCTGTAATAACATGACCTCCAATTGACAGCATAACCATCCTTGTGAAACATGTGACCTACATTTTGAGCATGTCAGTGTAGTTTTCCCAGTTTGGACTTTGGTAAGTGCCTGACTGGAGCTTTACAGCATATGAGTTAGTAACATGATAGAGAACACAGAAATCTTATCGAAGGGCAGGATCTGCTCCAGCTCCAGTGTACCCTCCCTCTCATGGCGGACCACTGCCAGACAACAGAAGGACTACGGGAGAGACCTACCCAGCTGACACACTGGCTGGCCTAGGACTCACAAATAGGTGTGAGCACAGACTCAGGGGAGAGCGTAAGGGCTTTTTGTTATTTTTCCGTAAGATCTGTAACTCCTGTGTGCTTCAAGGATAAAAGTTACTGTGATTTTAGGGACTCCTGTGCAAAGCCTGTGTTCCTTACTCTGCCCTGTAGTTCCTGGGAAGTTAAACTATAAACTGTGGTGCCCTTGGCAAGGTGGAACTATAGGGGACGTGAGTAAGTGACTGGGGAGTCTGAGAAGTCTCATCACTGATTTCAGCACCTAGAGCGGTTGGACTGTGGAGTCCTGCCTCTCAAGGAAGGGTGACAGCATGTCTACATTGTGGAGTGTACCTTAGCAACCTAGCGCTACAAACAGTGTCTGAACTGTGCCCAAACCCTGCTGGCTTGGTAGCTGATGGGATCCAAAGGTTGGTTCCATTACAACAGACTGGTGACCATGCACTAAAAGGGGATTCAGCCAGGTCTGTAACAAGAGTTATCACCTAATCAGGAACTCATAAAAAGGGCAGAAAGACGCATCTTCTCCAGAATGCAGGAAAAGGCTTTCCGGGGGAAGCTCTCTACAGCTGTCAGGAAAGTGGGTTATTCCTAGGCAAAGCAAATGTATATTAAGCCATTGAACATAACTTTTTGTATAAATTGTTTCCTGGTTGCCCATAGGGTGAGGGGCACCAGGTTAATCAAGACTCTGCTGCTATTCAAGTTCAGCCACAATACTTGTGTACCCTGTTGGCATAAAGGGGGCTTTTGTTTGTTTGTTTTTGTTTGTTTTTTGTGACAAAGACCCTTAATTGGTTTGGGGGCAATTCCTCGGGGTGGACAATGGGGTCTTGATACACTACTATTAAGGTCAATGGGGTTACATGTGCATTGGGGCAGAAGACTAACACTTTAGTCTACATGGTAAATATTTTTTTAAGGTGAACGGCAAAGCTTTTATAAAATTAAATGAGCCCCCTATTCATCAAATAACAAATGCTTAGACTCAAAATGATATAAACACATCTCCTTGTAACATACAAACTTTGAAAATGAGGACCTTCCTTTACTCTTCCTCCAGGGCTTCAGTTCAGAGGCATATATTTGTCTGTTATAGGTGATAGCACAACTACCTAGAACGGCTGTGATTTGTGATTTTGGTGATTTGTAACTTCAATGCTTGTTGCACACATTATGAACTACTGGACTCTGGTCTGGCTGGGTTCATTAGAAGGAAACTGATTTTCATAATGTGAGGTTGGGGGAAATTCCCTTTTCGGCCCTAACTTGTGATCAGTTTTCTGCCTTGAACCATGAAGCTTGTGAAACCTTATAATTTTTGTCAGATACTGTATCTGAAGAGGCTGTTGTTAGACATTCAGATTTCTAATCTGTTTTAATCTTGCTAAGATATTTATCCTAATGTTCAGCAACAGTGAGTTCCATACGTTTATATCAAAGTCTTTCTTTCACATGTATCTTCCCATTTAAATGAGTGTGCTCTCGTGTTATGGAAGACAGGAAAGAGGAATGCAAGACTAGTTTTCTCTATTTATAATAAAATACAACTTTATTTTATATTGCAGTGTTTGTCTCGTAAACTGTATCCCATGCTGTACTCTATAAAGTTAAATGAAGAATGAAAGCAGTAGGAAAGAGATGTTAAGATGCAGAAAAGGAAGGAAAGGTAGGTTTCCAGGTTTGAAATGAGATGAGTCAGTGAGGCAGGAAAATGTGTCCAAAGTTCAGAGCTGCAGAGAAGGCTCTTGCACCAGAACTAATCAGATTATGTGCAGAGACAGAAAGGAACCTAGTGCAACACAACTGAAGGAAGGACAAAGAGAGTAAAGCAGGCACAGAGAGGTCTTTCAAAAACAAGAAAAACATTGAACTGGATCAAATGGGAAGCCAGTGGAGTTGTTTGAGGGTGTGGATAATGTGATTGTATTTCCCTGTAAAAGTAGGAAGGTGGCCCGAGAGAACTGAGCCTCAATAGTAAAGGGGTGAGGAAATAAATGCATGGATGAGGATTTCATCAGAACTGGAGATGCATCAGGCAGTACCGATGGTTATAAGCAATTTGGCAGTTATAAGTAACACATTACTTTATATACCTCTTCTTTTCATTTGAATAATCAATGTTAGCCTCTTTTTAATCTCAGGCTTTTAAATCTCTCCTCATATGGATGCCAACATCCCAAACCTATGCTTCTAATCTTCAGTGGCTCGTCTCTTTAGCTATCAAGAAACAGCCTGGCTTATGAGCATGAAGCCGTGGAATTTGAAGGAGCATATAGGATTTGCTATATGTTAATTTATGCTGCGTAATTAGCAGACTTATTGGAATGTGGTCCTACAGGCTTTTCCTGTACAGAAGAGTAGAAATTATACTTACCTACTTGAAAGTAATAGATACAGAGTAACTCTAAACTTGTATGTATTGAAGCATCCTTCATCTCATGGGAAGGGATGAGTGTTATTAGAAGAGTGGCGCAAAAGCTTTGCAAAGCACTGAAAGCCCCAGGAAGAGAGCATGACATCCTATGCTAGCTTTGTTTCTGAATTTCCTCAATCACCGGCCTAGGAGAACTACAAAGTCTGGCTTTGTTTAGGCTTTTTAGACAGGAAGGAGGATTTAGGAAAGTTTCTGGAAGGAAAAAAGTAGGACTTTGGGAAACGGTTGAGAGATACGAGGCACCATAGGTGTTAGAACTAGTGGTGCTGGGGATGCGGGAGGACACGCTGGCTTGAAGTGGATGCCATCATATACAGGGTTTACAGTTTGGTTCAATAGCTCTCAGCACCTGCACTGTACAAATTGTTCCAGCACCCCTGCAAGGCTGTGTTTTCTTTTGCCTGGGGTTTGTGTACTTTTTTGACCTGGCAGTGGATGAATGGAATGCTGGAATTATATTATCCAAACACAGGGAAATCAGATAAATGTTGGACCCCACAAATATTTAGCCACAGACATCCATTATAAAAAGGAAGGATTGTCTTGTGGTTAATCCACTGGACTAGGATTTGGAAGATGAGGATTCAATTCTCACTCAGCCTCAGATCTTCTGGGTGACTTTGGCAAGTCACTAAATCTCTCTGTGCCTGAAACCGCCCTGCTATACATATCCCTAGACCAGTGATACTCAGACTGAGGCTCGTGAGCCGCAAGTGGCTCTTTAATGTGTCTCCTGCGGCTCTTTGCAGTACAAGATATTGAAACACTGTGTGATTTAATTATTAAGCAATCAGGCTGCTTCTACTATGTTATTAACCAATTCAAGTTGACAAAACAATACTTGGTCAGTTATTTTGCTGTGAGAATAATGTTATATAATTCTCACAGCAAAATGACTGACCTGTGTGTGTGTGTGTATAAATATGTATATAAAATCCTTCCTTTTATATAGTAAATGAAACAATGAATTCACTGTACTGTGGCTCTTTTGGGTAATGTTGATCACTGATTTGGCTCCTGAACCACTGAGGTCTGAGTATCACTGCCCTAGATGAAAAATGTAGCTATTAAAACCGTAAGACTCAATCACTGGCCTGTATGACAAGTTAAATATTTCTTTTTTTCCCACGACATTTAATACTGTGTAACTACGGAAACAGAGATAAAAGACACAACTTTTAATGCGCAGCATCAGATCCTGCCCACTTGTACACTCCTGGGAATTTTGCCACTAACTTCAGTGGGAACAGGAGCAGGCCCAGAGTGTAAGACTTTTTTTGCCTATGATTTTAAAAGCCATTCTTTGGTGTGAGTAACTCTTATCTGACATAGCTGGAAGTGCAGCCTTCCAGTGTGGAATTCAGTGAAGAAAAACTGCTACTCACCTGTGTGGTTTTGCAAAGGCTCAGATTTTTGATGATACAGGCAGTGTGACCAACAATGCCTGGGTCCGTTGGGTGAGTTAACAATAGCATCCCCAGGTTCTGCAGCACCTCTCCATGCATCAGAGCGTCCTGCAAGAGCAACAAGCCATTCAATCACTGCTGATAATGACAGTGCTAAAGCATGTGATGTGACTCCATGTTATGTCATGGGTAGGACTACCCCAGCTCAACTTTCAGCTGTTTTAAACTAGCTGTAGTTTAGCGCTGTCGTTCTCAAATTGTGGTCCATTGACCACTCCTGTTACACACAACATATGCTGGTGGTCTATGGAGAGGTGGATGGTCCGATGGTACTGGCTGATACTCCTCATTTCCAGCTGACAAATCCCATCAAATACTTATAAAATATTACAGTGCCAGCTCAGGAATAGCTGTAGTAATCAAAGGGAGGCATGCGATTGTGACTGAGAAGGGCAGTGCTCTGGGTAATGGTGAATGGAAGAGGTAGGTCATTCAGCAATCTTTACATTAGACAGATATGGTCAACTTGATTTGTTTTAAACAAACTAATGTTTTTAATCGGTTTGTGATCAGGCACTTTTTAAAATCACATTCCTGAAATTCCTTTAAAAAAGACCCTGTTCAAAATGGTATACTGGTTTCTCTGCTCTTCTATTGATATTTAAAGGCCTTTCAGAAAGCTTACCCCTTGCTGAACTTCCAGGCTTCTCTAATACCAGTGGGATCGGACCCTAGCTCCAAGTTTGGAATTGTTGGCCACCAAGTCTCCCTGGTATTAATATGAACTTATATATTGTTTTACAGTAAGGTGAACTGGAGGGAAAACTCTCACACTGACTTAATCGGTTTTGGATCAGACCCATAGTTGCAAGCAATACCCAAGATCATATCCTAACTAAAAGGTTAGCAAAGAAAACATTTCTCTGTTCTTTCAGTCTGTTTGCTTTGGGCATTTGACAGTACTTTGTGTAGAGTCAGTAATGTACTTCTTTATTCATACTGTTTAGAAACTGAGGCTTGCTAGCAAGGATGTACTAAATCTTTAACCCGGCATACGTATGGAGATGAAAGACATTACGCTGGAGTTTTGGAAATGTCAGGCTCCTTGAAGCAGCATCAAAGTTAGATGTCTTTAAAAATCAGTTTAAATTGCATCTTTCCTGATTTGTAGGTTGTTACAAAAGGGGTATTTTATTTTCACTTGATATTGACTGACATCTTCAAATGCATCCATTCCAAACACAGTCACAAGGTGAAATGCTGAAGCAAAACATGAAAGAAGACAAATCCAAAGTACAGCACGATGGTTAAACTCGGGGAACAAAGTATGACTTAACAAGCTCAGATGTCTACATGTTAGGTTTCAATCAGGGTGTGGTATGTACAGATATATGCTTGTGAATTTCACTAGCGATGTCTTTCCCTGTCTTCATAGACACAACTCACGTAATCTTAGCTAGCTAGAATGCGTTCAATTAACTGTAAAGACAATTTTGGATACGGTAGGTTTGACTCTTTTTAACCTGTGTAACTCCAATTGACTTCAGTGGAGCCACTCCCAACTTACATCAGCAGGAGAGGCAGCTCGGGCCTTTTCATTGAGTGCAGACCAAAAATGAATTCTTACAGTACATGAATGGGTCCACTGCCAATCTTTCTCATACATGTAGGATATACATTTGATCACTATCCCATCTGATGGCAGGTATTAGAACACTAAATTCTGATGGGCCTGCAGTATTTTGCAATTATATGTGTGAGACGCAGATTTCATTCCAAGTTCATTATTGTGATCCTCTGTTCAGTGAGGGAGAGCCACAGAGGCAGCATTCTCAGTAGAAAATGGATGAACAGATTCAGATGAGTATTGGCCAAACTTCTTCCCCAGACTCAAACAGTTGGAAATGAAAAAAGATCGTAATCCACACTGGTCAGAGAAACCATTCCAGCAGCAATTGTTTTTATCATTTTGATACCTGGCCTTTGTAAAGCACTCTGAGATCATCTAGTGAAGTGTGCTAGCCAAGGATAAATATTATTCCCATTTTACAGATGGTGAAACTGAGATGCAGAGAAGCAAAGTTACTTTGTGTCCTAGAACAAGTTAGTCAGTGGCAGAACTGGGACTAGAACCGATGTGTTCTGAGCCCTGATCCCTTGCTCTAACAAACATGGCTTCACCTCATGCTGAAAAGGCCCTTTATTATAACACCCAACCTCTTTCTTAGGGCTTTGGGACTGGATTGCTCTTGACAGAACTGAACAGAATTCTCTTTGCAGTGGGGAAGCTAATTCAGTGTTATGTTGCATGCTCACCATGAGCCAATGCAATGGCCAAGCCAGTGAATCACAGAGCGGCTTTCTATTAAGGAATGAAGCCTCCATGAAACATTCCATCTGATCAAATCCACGGTAACTAAAGGGCAGATAAATTTTACCCTATTGTATATTGGCCAGTATTTGTAATGACTCAAGCATTACTTCATTTACTTGTAAATGTTATCTTTGTTCTGTGGTTTGTTTTCCTACTGCTGTTCCCAGGGAACAGTCCCTCTAATTCACTCAGAATTCAGACGAGGCCAGAGAAGGAAACCTTGAAAAGAGCTGAAAAATAGGCTAGAAAGGGTGAGGGGGGAGGGAGGGAAACAAGGGACAATGGATAAGACCCTTGTCTAGATACTCAGAGTTGAATCTCACAATGCAGCAACATTCAACAGTCAGTGACAGTGATGTTTGCTCACTAAAATAAATTTCAAAATGCAAACACTTCTCACCAGAGAATATACCCTTGAGATAACATTTCACTTCCAAGTGTCCTATTGCAGACCCACATATTACCCTTCCCCTGCTGGATGGTTTGACTGTTTCATTGTTGGTGTAACCACTTTGAACCTCTGGTCATGTTGGATGCTCCAGCTGTGTGCAGACAGGATGTGATGGGGGGTTGATTGAAATACTTGACAAACACACATTTTAGAAGCCATGAAGGGGATAGGTTGTATGCATAGCCTGTGAGGGGGAGGAGAAGGTTGAACTGCAAGAGGTGCTTTCTTGGAAAATTAACAGCTTTATTACTGAGGTAAAATTCTGACCTGATTCTTCACATTGAGTAACACTTTAGTAACCCCATTGACTTCACTTATTTAAATTGTAAACTCTTTGGGGCGGGGACCAACTTTTCATTCTGTGCATACAGTGCCTCAAACAATGGGGCCCAGATCCATGACTAGGATCCCTTGTGCTAATACAATTCAAATAAATAATAAGCATCATGCCTTTCAAAGACATCATGCCTCCAGGCACTTCTGCTTGGGCAGTGCACCTTCTCGCCTTTCCCAGCACACTACTAAGTTGTAGGAGGCATAATTTTAACCATGCTGTGCTGAATGTGCAAGATCAATTGATGTACAAAGCACTAGGTCTGCAGTTCCCAGTGGGAGTTTCAAGCCAGCATGAATTTCTTTCAGTAATTAGCCACTAAAAGCCCCTAAAACAAGCCTTGGGTAGTCAGATTATCTTGTCACTACTGTAAAAAGCTACATCGTATGATAGGCTTTCACTTTTTTTTTGCTTGACATCCTTAAACGCTAACTGACTTAAGAGATTGTTAGCTTAAAAATCCTATTTTAAAATTTCCTTACTCGTGACTACTGACACCGTCCGCTATTGTAATGGAAATTATTGTATCGATGTTGCTTTTCACTATCTTATATTTGTTTACTTTTGCATTTCTTTCTGCATCGACAAAGAAAATACCAATTTTGTTTTGTTTGTTTTTATAATCTACTTCTAATCAGTTTTGCTTTCAGGTTCTCAGGCATCAGCAATAACATTTCACCGTTTGTGGTGCTGTTTACCTTGAACAAAATAGCCAAATCTAACTAATGGGTTGTCCACCAAGGGACAATTAACAGATCTTAAACCCCAGCGTGGATGCTCTCATTCAGAAGTACAGTGGCCTTGTTTGCTTTAGCTTAGTGGTTCTTCAAAAGCGATCAATTCACTTGAACTTTCCTGAGTGTCCCTGTGTAGACAAGCCCTAACAAAATTACTATGCTGAGCACTGTAGATAAGATGTAGCTTTCTTTCTCTGACCTGATGGTCTCTATCTCTCAGCATACTATTCTGTGTCCTGCCATTCATCCTCCCTCCTAAAAAAATCCCTCAGCCGTAAAGCAGCAGCACTTTAATGTACCTTGTGTGGTCACGGCGCACAGTGCTCTAAAAAAACCACCTCAACGAGGGGCGTGGCTCCCAGCGCTGGGGCACTGTTTACACTGGCGCTTTACAGCGCTGCAACTTGCTGCACGCAGGGGGGTGTTTTTTCACACCCCGAGCGAGAAAGTTGCAGCGCTGTTAATTGCCAGTGTAAACAAGCCCCAAGTCACTAGCCCTGCAATGCTTGGAATGTAGTGGTCAGTAGAGTATGGGCTGGTGTGAGTGGCCTTCTTCTTATACAGCTGCTCTACAACACAAAGGACTAAACTCAATGTCCACTGGGTTCCCCTCAACCCACACAATCCCGATATTAAATAACTGTCCAGGTGCAGTTGCGGTAGCCAGGGGCGGCTCCAGGCACAAGCGCACCAAGCATGTGCCTGGGGCGGCAAGCCGTGGGGGGCGGCTTGCTGGTCGCTGTGAGGGCAGCAGTTTGGAGGAATGCCTGCGGGAGATCCACCAGCCCTGCGGCTTCGGCGGCAATTCAGCGGCGGCTAGCCGTGGGACTGGTGAACCTCCCACATGCATGCCGCAGAATCCGCGTTACCAGCGGACCTCCCGCAGGCCGAAAGCCACCTGCCTGCCTTGCTTGGGGCGGCAAAAAACATAGAGCCGCCCCTGGCGGTAGCTAACCCTTGATCCCTTTGGGAAGGCCCTTTCTGTTTTTCTATGGAGATTTGCACATCAAGTATTTATATCAGTAATTCATTATATGCAACATTAACATTGTTGCCATAGCATTACGTAGTTAGGAGTATTAAAAGTTCTATCCCAGGCAGTGGCAAGAACCCCTGCTATTCAGCAACTATCATCCCTACCTGGTTGGCTGGGTGTTGGGATAATATCCAGAGGAGTCCAATAGAAGCTTGTTGAACATCTGAATTGCTAGATGCAAGGAGATACAGCAGCTTGGGCAGGATGTCCATAGCAATGATGTCAGCCTGAATGTTCACTGTTTGGAAGAATGACAAAGCAGCTCAGTGTGGGGTAAATTGTTGGCACAATTATGGTGCTGTTTTCATGAATGTTAGACAGACTTATGGCTGAATGGTGACATATATATCACTTATCAGAGGGTAGCCGGGTTAGTCTGGATCTGTAAAAGCATCAAAGAGTCCTGTGGCACCTTATAGACTAACAGACGTATTGGAGCATGAGCTTTCGTGGGTGAATACCCACTTGGTCGGATGCATCCGAC